CCCCCCCCCCCCCCCCAATTTGCTAATGTTTCCTATTATCATTATTGTGGTGGTGGTGATGATGATGATTATTCAACTGGAGACTTGAAATTCATGCTCTGAAATACTGGGCAGCTTTGGTCAACTTAATTTGTCTTGTAGTCAAGTCTCAAACCTACTGAGAAGCTTAGTATTGAGTTACCTTTCTGTGGATTCATGGGGTAGAAAGCTAAATTTATCTCAGCAGATCTAACTGGATAGGCTGGTGTTTTTTTTTTTTTTTTGTTTTTTTTGTTGAAGCACAGGCACTATATGAACTACTAGGCTAGAATTTGAGCAACTTTCTGCTCTGGACTGGCTATTTTATAGTCAGCCTTAATACAGTAACTAGTCTCACTTTAAACATGGGATAAGAACCACTTTATTCTGTCTAGAGTATAATGTATTGCTGAGGCTTTTGGATTTTCTTAAATAAAAATTTTTGTTTTAGTACTTCAGTAGTAAGTTATAACTAAATATTAATAATATACTATCCTGTGGGCTGTATGGGAACCAAGAGTGAGGCAAACCACTGTTTTACAAGATATTATCAACTTGCCTAGTACTGGCCTAAAGACACTTGAGTAAAAGCTAATACAAGTAAAAATTCATGTGTATTAAAGGGTCTACCCTATCAGAAGGGTCGAAGGTGGACTAGATGCTCCATTTGAACACTATCTTGTACTAAAGCTCCTCTGGACTAAAACTCTGGCTTTGATTCATCAGCATACTACTTGTACTCTCTTTCAGGAAATACGAAGAGATCTACCCACCAGAGGTAGATGAATTTGTATATATAACAGATGATACTTACACAAAGAGGCAGCTGCTAAGAATGGAACACCTACTTCTCAAAGTACTGGCTTTTGACTTGACTGTACCAACTATAAACCAATTTCTCCTTCAGTATTTACAGAGACATGGAGTTTGTATTAAGACTGAAAACTTTGCCAGGGTACGTATTATTATGCTTCTGGGATGTGGGATGTAGTGATCTAAGAGCTTGTGGGATGTAGCGATCAGAAAAGGAGGAACATTCGTATTCTGAATTGGCTGCTCAAGAATAGGAAAGCTGACAACTATTGGCATTAGAGAATGCTGAGGCCTGTGACTTCCTGTCTAACCCCTCCTCCCCCCCCCCCCCCCAACAAAAAACAAACAAACAAAACCATAACCAACACCCAAGCTGGGAACTGTTGCCAGAGTTGTGACTTGATCTGGTAAAACTAAATGTAAACTTAAGGCAAGTCACAAATTTTTTGCTTGTCAAAATATTAAGTTTAAAATAGTTCTGGAATTTATTCAAAACTGGTTACTTGGGATGTCTGGAATACCACTGATGGCAAGCTAGGCTGTTCTATGCTTAGAAATAACATAATAACTCTACAAGATGGATTGCAAGCCTGTCTTTAGCGAAGAATAGGGGTATGGGGGATGGGAAGTAGGTCTACTAGCTTACTTCAGGCCATACAAACTTGTGACAGTGCTGGCAATAGAGCCCGTCTCCAGAAGTGTGGTCCTGTGCACTAGCAAGACTGATCAGGCTTCCTTTCCACTATTCTATATCATTCAAACCTATTGGGAAAGCCCCTGTTGACTTTCAAGGGCAGAATTCCACATTGACTTTCTAAATAGGTAAAACTATACATCCTTCTAATGAAATTATGATTTGCTGCCATCTCCAAAGCTCTAACATAGGAAATACAAATCAACTTATACTTCTCGGAGCATGTTGAACAGAGTGGCACTTCTCATCTGAAACTGCCTTCCTGTTTTATTTAGTATGTTGCAGAGCTGAGTCTCCTGGAAATTGACCCATTCCTAAA